GTCTGTTGTTGTTGAAGTGTGTGTATGTTGTGTATGTGTGTGTGGTATGTGTATTAATGTATGTGTGTTGTGTATGTGTGTGTTGCGTACATGTGTGTGTTGTACATGTGTGTTGTTGTGTACATGTGTGGTGCTGTGTGTGCGTTGTGTATGTCTATGTGTGTGTGTTTGCACTGTTTGTGTTGTGTCGTGTATGTGTGTGTGCGTGTTGTATGGGTGGGTGTTGTGTGCGTGTTGTGTGGGTGTGTGTTGTGTGCGTGTATGTGTGTATGTGTGTGTTTATGTTGTGTGTGAATGTGTTTGTGAGTGAATGTGTGTATATATGTGTTTGTGTGTGTGTGAATGTGTGTAAATGTGTGTTTGTGTGAGTGAACGTGTTTGTGTATATGAGTGTGTTGTGTATGTGTGTGTTGCTTATGTGTGTGTGTTGCGTATGTGTGTGTGTTGTGTATGTGTGTGTTTGTGTGTGTGTGTGTGTGTGTGTGTGTGTGTGTGTGTGTGTGTGTGTGTGTGTGTGTGTGTGTGTGTGTGTGTATGTGTGTGTGTGTGTGTGTGTGTGTGTGTGTGTGTGTGTGTGTGTGTGTGTGTGTGTGTGTGTGTGTGTGTGTGTTGTGTATGTGTTAGTGCGTGCGTGTTGTGTTTATGTGTGTGTGTGTTATGCATGTGTGTAAGCGTTGTGTATGCGTGTGTGTGTGTTATGCATGTGTGTGCGTTGTGTGCGTTGTGTGTGTGTGTGTGTGTGTGTGTGTGTGTGTGTGTGTGTGTGTGTGTGTGTGTGTGTGTGTGTGTGTGTGTGTGTGTGTGTGTGTGTGTTATGTGTGTGTGCGTGTGTGTATGTGCGTTGTGTGTGTGTTATGTGTGTGTTGTGTATGTGTGTGTGTTGTGTATGTGTGTTGTGTGTGTGTATGCGTTGTGTGTGTGTTTGTTGTCTGTGTGTTTTGTGTATGGGTGTGTGTGTTGTGTATGGGTGTGTGTGTTGTGTATGTGTGTGTATTGTGTATGTGATGTGCATGTGTGTGTGTGTGTTTGTGAATGTGTGAATATCTGTGGGTGTGAATGTATGTGAATATGTGTGTATGTGTGTGTGTGTGTGTGTGTGTGTGTGTGTGTGTGTGTGTGTGTGTGTGTGTGTGTGTGTGTGTGTGTGTGTGTGTGTTGTGTTGTGTATGCGTGTGTGTGTTATGGATGTGTGTGTGTGTGTGTGTGTGTGTTGTGTTGTGTGTGTGTGCGTTGTGTATGTGTGTGTTGTGTATGTGTGTGTGTGTGTTGTGTGTTGTGTATGCGTGTGTGTGTTATGCATGTGTGTGTGTGTGTGTGCGTTGTGCATGTGTTGGTGTTGTGTATGTGTGTGTGCGTTGTGTATGTGTGTGTGTTGTGTGTGTGTGTGTGTTGTGTATGTGTGTGTGTGTTGTGTGTGTGTGTGTTGTGTGTGTGTGTGTTGTGTATGTCTGTGAATGTTTTAATGTGTGTGTGTTTGTGCGTTGCGTGTTTGTGCGTTGTGCATGTGTGTTTTGTGTATATGCGTTTGTGTCTGTGTGAATGTGTATGAGTGTGTTGCGTATGTGTGTGTTTGTGTGTCTACGTGTGTTGTGTATGTGTATGTGTGTGTTTGTCTCTGTGTTTGTGTTAGTGCGTGTGTGTTTGTACTGTGTGTGTTAGTGCGTGTGTGTTTGTACTGTGTGTGTGTAGTGTGTGTGTGTGTGTGTGTGTTAGTGCGTGTGTGTTTGTGTGTGTGTGTTAGTGCGTGTGTGTTTTGTACTGTGTGTGGTTAGTGCGTGTGTGTTTGTACTGTGTGTGTGTTAGTGTGTGTGTGTTTGTACTGTGTGTGTGGGAGTGCGTGTGTGTTTGTACTGTGTGTGTGTTTGTACTGTGTGTGTGGGAGTGCGTGTGTGTTTGTACTGTGTGTGTGTTAGTGCGTGTGTGTTTGTACTGTGTGTGTGTTAGTGCGTGTGTGTTTGTACTGTGTGTGTGGGAGCGCGTGTGTGTTTGTACTGTGTGTGCTGTATGCGTGTTGAGCGTATGTGTGTGTGTGTGTTGTGTCTGTGTGTGTGTTGGTTATGTGTGTGTGTTGTGTATGAGTGTGTGTTGTGTATGAGTGTGTGTTGTGTATGTGTGTGTTGTGCATGTGGGTGTGTGGGTGTTGTGTGTGTGTGTGTATGTGTGTGTTGTGTTGTGTTGTGTTGTGTATGTGTGTGTGTGTTGTGTATGTGTGTGTGTGTGTGTGTGTGTTGAGTGCATGTGTGTGTGTTGTGTATGTGTATGTGTGTGTGTGTTGTGTGTGTGTGTGTGTGTGTGTGTGTGTGTGTGTGTGTGTGTGTGTGTGTGTGTATGTGTGTGTGTTGTGTATGTGTGTGTGTTGTGTATATGTGTGCTGTGTATGTGTGTGTGTTATGTATGTGTGTGCTGTACATGTGTGCGTATGTATGTGTGTGAATGTGTGTGTGTGCGTTTGTGCTGTATATATGTGCATGTTGAGCGTTGTGTTTGTGTGTATATTGTG